GCCGAAGTCGGACGCTTAACCGACCGAGCCACCCAGGCGCCCCTTTTAATGTTTATTTTTGAAAGAGAGGGAGACAGAGCGTGAGCAGGGGAGGGGCAGAGAGAGCAGGAGACACAGAACTCGAAGCAGGCTCCAGGCTCTGTGTTGTCAGCACAGAGCCCAGCATGGGGCTCAAGCTCACAAACCATGAGATCGTGACCTGAGGCGAAGTCACTGCTTGACCAACTGAGCCACCCAGGCGCCCCAGTAATCCACTTTTTGTAAGAAATTTCCTATGGCCACTCTAGCCCACCCCCGAGAGGCCCACCCAGCCACATGGTCGCGTGCAACGTACATTGCGTGTGCAACGGGTCTCCTGGCTCCTGGAGAACCAAGAACTCCAGTCCTGGTTCTGTCACTAACGTGCTGCACGACCCTCGGAAAGCCGCCTCTCCTCTCTGAACCTATCTGCTCATCGATAAAACCAAGGAGTATGACCAAGTGACCCCAATGGCCCTGAACATCCAACCCATCCATTACCCACCACCCATCAGCAGGACCCCGAAAAGAAAGTGAGTCAAGGAACTCCCAGAGGAGAGAAGAGGAGAGACCCCAGGGGACCAGGCAGAGGAAGAGAAAAGGCAGATACCACAAAGGCTTACGGATAGTCGACCAGAAACGACCAACAGCAGGGATAGCAAACAAAGCAAAAAGCCCGTGAAAGATTGCCCAGGCACTGGCAGGGGGCAGGAGGCACACGGTGTGGGGCCCACCCACTCCCAGGCTACAGACAGATGTCCCCTGCTTGGAAGGCCAGTGTTCCCTGGGGGGACCGCCGTGAGCAGCTCGGCCCAGGCCTCAGCCCTCACATGTACGGCAAATGCACAGTCTTGTGAAATGTGGACCTCCAGGGAGGGTCCCCAGAGTCCCAGGGCTGGGGAGCAGAGCGCTGGCCGGTAGATGGGCTGAAACTGGCTGTGAATTTCAAGCAGGGAGCACGCGCAGCAGGCCTCTGAGGCCTCAGACAGCAGCCCCTGATCCCTCCATGAAACCCCCTCGAGTACTCCTGTGCTCCAGACCCTGAGCTGGGTGCTGGCGACATAGCAGCAAGGCTGATTGTAGAAGCTCAAGGCCCGGCGGGCAGGCCAGAGACAGATCTGAGCACTCACTAGGTCCAGCACCCTTCTGACCACCTTCTCTGAGTTGACTGAGTCCTCAAAGAAGCCCTATCCCAAATTCAGAGTTGAGGGGCCTGGGGCATACGGCGCTCATGTCCCTTGCTCCTGCTAACATGACTTTGGGTGCAGGGGTGCTAGGACAAGGGTGAAAAAAATCTTAGGGTGGTATGAGAGCCCCAGATCAGGACTATCTTGCCTATTCAAACTTTTTACTGTTCAGCCAAGAAGGTTGACACCCAAAGAGGAGGAATGACAAGAACCCACAACTATTAAGGCCAAAATGGCCAGCGTGGTACCAGATGCCTTCCCCAGGGTCATTGGATTAAACCAGAAACACTCCCAGCATGCGTTGGGAGGCTGGGAATGGCGGTGGGCAGTGGGGCGACCCTTCATCAGGTCAGACAGAAAAGTCCAGAAGGCGAAGGAAGGTTGGGGAACTGGGTAAAGGGGCAGCGAACAGACGGGGAGGGGTCGGGGTCCAGGTAAGGACTCACTGGCAGAGGCTGTAGGCAAGCAGGGAAGCATTCTGGGGCTGGACGCCTGGGGTCCTGTGAAGGTCCCACAGGTTCTGATCTGTTCTTTGGAACAAAACAGAGGAAGGAAGAAACCAGGTGTGTTTTGGGTCACGGGGGAAGGACCACTGGTGTTGATTGAGAGGGGGCCCTAGGGGGGTGCTTTAAGTAGCCAAGAGAGGTTTTGAACCAAGCACCTTGGTTCACGAAGGCTCCTCAGCTCCCCTGAAGCGTGTTCTCTGTACAGGCGGGCAGGCACAGCACCACTTTGCCTGGAAAACCCCGTTAGCTGCGCAGTGTGGCCTGGGACAGACCTCAGCCTAGACCCCCAAATTCCTCACCTGCCTGGCTTCCCTCGAGGCGGGGTCTCCCCTAACCCCACCTTACAGGGTCTTCTCCCCTAACCCTACCTCACGAAGCCCAAAGCCAGGTTCAAGTGTTGCCAGTTGTGAAACTCCAGATGATGCCGAAACAGCAAACTGAACACAGGTCCTGGGGCGAGCATGGCCCCGAGGTGGGAGACTGTGATACGGGAAGATGCCCGCAACCACCCAGCCCCTGCCTCTGGTGCCCCCTCACAGGCAGAACCCAGGTCAGAGAGGGAAATCACAACATGCTCATTTGACAAACATTTCCTGAACCGGGGTTGAGGGTCCGGCTTCGCCCTGGGTGCCGCAAAGGATCCTCGAGGTGCGACGGTGGAGTCACGGAAGGAGGCCACAGGGAGCCCCAGAGTCCGCCTCTCCTCCCTCCCTTTCCAGCTGGGGCCGGCAGAAGATAATGGGCAAGAGCTGAGGATTTAGGTTCGAGTCCCAGCTCAGCCACTTACCAGCTGAGTGACGCTGGGCGAGTTGTATCGTGCCTCTTGAACAGGAAAGCTCCTGTTGTCCTCACACACGAAATGCTCTGACACCAAAAGAGGGAAGGGGGCTTTTCCCACATCAACCGACTCTCCAACTATCCAGGCACCAGCTGGGTGTCCCACAATTCCGTTCAGTTCTGACGCCGTCTACCTGGAGCTAGCATCAGATGCCCAGGTTGTCACCTGCGCTTCCGCCCGACTGCCTATACATCAGGATTTATAGCCCTTCCTCAGGTTTTATCATTTGCTATGACAGGGGCGCCTGGGTGGCTCAGTTGGCTAAGTGTCCGACTTCAGGTCATGATCTCACCGTATGTGAGTTCAAGCCCCACACAGGGCTCCAGGCTGACAGGGCGGAGCCTGCTTGGGATTCTCTCTCCCTGCCCCGCCCCCCCCAAATAAAGAAGCTTTTTAAAAAATCTTATCATTTACTACGACAGCTCAGCAGAACTCAGGGAGACACATTTATCAGTTTCTTGTAAGAGGATATATTATAGGACACCAGTGAGTGGCTGGATGAGGAGGTACCTAAGGTGAGATCAGAAAGGTCCCAAGCATAAGAGCTTCTGTCCCTGTGGAGTTGGGGTGCCCCACCCTCCCAGCACGTAAATGTGGTCACCAACCCAGAAGCTCTCTAAACCCCATATTTAGGAATGTTTCTGGAGGCTTCCTCCAGATTGGGCCTGATTGATGATTAAGTCAATCTCCAGCCCCTCTCCCCTCCCTGGAGAATGAGGAGTAGGGCTGAAAGTTCCAGGTTTCTAATCACGGCTTGGTTTTTCTGGCCACCAGCCCCCATCCTGAGGCTATCCAGGAGATCTCCAGGAGTGACCTCATTAGAACAAAAGACGCTGTTGTCACTCACAAAACTCCAGGGGATTCAGGAGTCCTGTCCCAGGAACCAGGGGCAGAGACCAAGCGTGTATTTCTTATTATGTCACCTCTGGCCCTCACTTTCCTCATCTGTAATGTGAGGATAATGATAACGTCCTTGAGCTGTTTTAAGGATTAAACAAGCGGAAAGTTCTTAGCCCAGCATTTGGCACATAATAAGAACTTAATTAACTGTAATTAATGTTCTTATAGATGAGGAAGTTGAGAGATCCAGAAAGGGGGGCGGGGAAGACTTGTCCAAGGTCAGCTTGGAACAGGACTCTATGATTCCATTCAGCGGCCTGAGCACCTGCTCTGTAGTCAGCACTCCACCAGGCAGGGCGGGGGGACACAGGGACGACTGGACAGTCCCCGTCCTGAACGGTCATACACTCTTGGAAAGACTATACTATAGGGAAGGTTTCTCATGTCAAAGAGTTCACTCTTTCCCCTGGATAGACATGACAGCCAGGCCAGTGGCCTAACCACGCCGAGGAGAGTGTTATGGGTTGAATTGCGTCCCCCCAAAGACGTGTTCAAATCCTAACCCCCCAGTCAGTACCTCAGCATGTGATCTTATTTGGAAATATGGTCATTGCAGAAGTAAACAGTTAAGATGAAGTCACGCTAGAATAGG